AATTAGATCATCTGTATTGCAATTGTCTTTTAACAGGTCCAGTGCTGAGAACACTAACCGTGAGCAGCCAAAGGTTGAGAAGTTATCTATGAAGAAAAAAGGAATTGGATCTGAAGCAAGAGCGGAGCGAATGGCTAATGCTGACTCGGACTTGCAGTTATTGGGTGAAGCTGAAAGAGGGAGACAGCTGCAAAAATTGAAGAAGAGGAGACTGCAAGGACGTGAAGATGAAGTATGTTCTAATCTTCGATACTTATCATGTTTTAATTCCTATTGTATTTTTGTTTTGAAAATGAAATTGCATGTTTGAAATAATGCTGCGATGAGATCAAGAACTCTTCACTTGATCTTAGGCAATGACAATTATGAATCCTGATGACTATCTGTCACCCTGCACCTAGTTTGTTTTGATTTTTTAAAATAACACAGCGTCTTTATCTTTTTATCTGAATATGGTAATGTACTAAAACTTATGATGTTAGCTTTTGCTTTTGACTTTTTTTTCTCGGAGCCCACTTCATAACAAGTCCAGATAACACTTATAATTTCATTGTTTAGTTTGGCTTGTGTTACACAGACACAAGGAAAAGGAAATATTTAAAATTCTAAATTATGAATCTTAACTTTATTATGCTATTAAGGTTGGATCTTAAATCTCTCTCTCTTTTCTCATTGTTGGGTTGGGTATGAAGCCATATTTGGGAATGACTTCAAGATTTTTTGCAAATTGAGGAACCTCTTTTTGCATCATTTCATGCATGGATTCGCGCCTTTTACATTCATCTTCAGTCTTTATTAGCAAGTTAAGCATTTACTTTTTCTCTGTGTTTTTGTTGCTTATAGGTTTTGGCCAAACTTGCGAATTTTAAGAAAGCCATTTCTGGAAAACCAACAACTTCAAGCGCCGAATCTGAGGGTGGCAATGATGAGTTGTCAGACTGGAAATCTGCTGGGTTAAAGTTCACACCAGAACCTGGGAAGGTAAGTAGTTGTGAATTTATTGACCTGCTTAAAATTTCTGAAGGCCAACTTCGCACAACACATTAACGCTTCGATGGACAAAAAATTTTGCGCTATATTCCTATAGAAAAAAGATTGCATAATACTCCTATAAAAGAATGCTATATACAATCTGCCCACAACTTACCCTTGCCCGTGAAGAGATAGCTAAGTATATGCTATATTTATTGTCGTTTGCTAAATAAATTCATTGTATCCATCCAGTTATAAATTTGGTATCTGTTTCTTTGTATCCTGTTAAAAAGTAAATATTTTTAATTGTTGGGACTTGTATTTTATTTCAGTGGAAAAATTTTGACTGAAACCCCAATATCCGTGATTTGTGTTGAAGCTTAATTTTCACCATGGATCATGCAGGACCGCATGACTCGTAGTGATGATCCAAATGACTATGTTGTGCATGACCCTCTTCTCGAGAAGGGGAAAGAAAAATTCAACAAAATGCAAGCCAAACAAAAGCGACGCGAGCGGGAATGGGCTGGCAAATCTCTTACTTAACCCGTCAGTCAAGACTCAGAACATGGGTTCATGGGTAGGTTAAATGCCAGTTTGACTTGGCTCCATTTTTTACTGTCGAACCAGATGAAAACTGCACTAGATTCCCACGAAAACATTGGAAATTCATTGAAGTTCATCATTGGCAGCCAGTTGTTTCAGACACGCAAATTTCTGGATCTGGATTGACAAACAGTACACAATTCTCTCCATACATATCCCAACGTATCCTTTATCTGTAGTTTCCTTTTTAATTCCTTATAACTTGTTCAAGATAGTAGAGAGAGAAAAAAATGGCTTCCCCACCCATCAAAATGTGATTATTTCCCATGGATTAAGTTCTAGATTTGTTTGATACAAATTGCAGGAATATGGATATCCTCGAAGCTTCTTTGCACAGCCTTGTGAGTTATTTAATGATCTGGCCAAACCCCATCTTAAAATGCTTCTTCTAGAAACAAGTTCAGACATAGAGAAATAGGAACTGAATATATTCTTCAAGAACAAATGTTCTTTTGCTGAGCCGTTTGTGCCATCAGACGCGCAAAGAAAGTCGGCCAGCCATTCCTACTGTTGCCAGAAAAGTCTACCCATTTAATTAAATGGTCTCAGCCTCAACCGTATATGGATTTGGTAGGAATTTCATGAATGAGTTGTTTCCATTCCATGTCTCTCCATTATTCAAATTCGGCCCATTTTTAATTGGTTTAGAGGGGAAGGAAATGGATTTAACCTAACCCACCCTATACCATTGGATTCCTTGACTGAGCAAGTGATTGGCTGGAATGTGTTCTTACCATTTTAATCTCTAGCTATTTGGAGAATTGGGAATAATTCAGGTTTTTGGATACTTTTACAGTCAATTGGGGTTTAGGCTGATCTTGTGTATTATTGAAAGTATGTTTTGTTCCCATCTCCACTTGGTGTTTGAAAGCTTTGATGGGAGGGGGCGTGCCACACGGCGGCGTCTTTAATAGTCTAGAGGTTGCGTGTAAGTTTGAATTTTTCAGCTCAATCTTTCCTTTAGGCATGGCCCATCCAGCCGGCATACTCACATACTCCTCCACTTTGCACAGTTAGAGAGAGAAATGGGGAAAGTTATTAATGATTTGTTCTCACTTTTTTTTTAAGTTTGTGTTTATTTAGTTCTCGAATTTTAAAAATATCAAATCTACTCTTAATTTTATATTTAATAGATATGTTACTTTTTTTTTAAAAAAAATCAAATGGAATAGATCTATTCGATACATGAATTAGACGTGTTTTAAAATTTGTATCGTATAGGCCCATAAATCTTAAAATATTTAATAAGCGTCTAAATTACGTGTATTTATATTTTAGTGGTAAATAAGTCTTCTAATTTTTATTTTGTATTTAATAAATTATTAATTTATGTTGAAAGGCTATTAAAAAAAATCAACATTCTATTAAATATAAACATTTTGAGATGAAATTAGTAAATCAATAAATTTGTGTTCTCACATGAAATTATTTAATGTATTGAAAATACGTGAGATAATAGGCAAATTAATTTGCCAACAGGTACGATATTTAATAACAGATTGACCATTTTTTATTTTATGATGAGATGACACGTCAGCATAATTAAAATTAAAAACAAATTATTCTTGTAGCATAATAATGTTTGGTGGTGTCATTTTGCAGAAAATTAGGTGTTGTTGTCGTAAGCTTTTTCATTAATTGAAATTACACTTTATATTTCAAATTTTAAAAATAATAATAATAAATATTAGATAGGTGTGAATATGTGCCATTTTTTTTGACAAATTTGTGGTATTTTCAAAATTTGTAGTTGGTTAATTGACTTATTAAGATGTTAATGACTTCTTTTTGTTCTAATTTCTATTTAATGTTGAATTATAGTGTACTTTACAAAATGAGTTTATTTCATTAATATAGTTTTTTCAAAAGAAAATTCGATAAAATCATGAAGCTAAACCCTAAAAATAATAAATAAATTATTTAACGCGTTAATTCAATACCTCGTTTTACTCTGTTTATTTGAACCTATATGCTTGAAATGATCGAGTATCTCTATTATTTTATGCTACAAGTTTGATATTTTCAAAATAAATCAATAAATCTAAAGCAAGGGAGAGATACCATTTTTATAAATTAGACGGATATTAAAGATAAATAATTTATTTTCTTGAAATATAATGAAATCAAACTATAATTAAAATCTATTACAAGCATAAGATTAAAGGAAAAAAGTGATATAAAAGTATGCAAACATATTCAAATATTTTATTTTTAGAGAAAAGTTAGATAAAGATTTGGTTGATGGCGGAAGACTTTGACTCAACAAATAGAAAAAATTACACATCTTAAAAAGACAAACTATCGAGAAAACGTTAAACTCGAGTCATTGAACGTTTATGGTCGAACGTAAAGACTATAAATTTTAAAAACTTTTATCATATGTATATTAAACCTAATAGATTCACATGTATTTAACCGATCTCGTAATTTATACAAACCATTTTTGTTTCTAATATTTAGATTATATATATATTTTTTTTTTAGAAAATGGAAAGTTTTAATATAGTGGGTAAAATTTTAAATTATAAATTTAATTTTTAGAAAACTGAAATTGATAAGACACAAAATAAATATTTAAATATTTAAGAATTGTGTACAATTTTAATTTGTTAGAATTATGAATTTGGTATTAAACACAAAATTAATTGCTAAAAAATTGAATAAATAAAATAATAATAAAATTAAAAAAAAAAAAAAAAACCGCGTATTCCAAATCCCAAGTCACCGCCTTTGGGCAACGACCGCCCTCAGTGGAAGCAGTAAACAAACCACATTCTCCCATTCCGTGTTCACACCTGTCAATCCTCTAAACCCTCTTTTTCTTTATTATTTTTTATTTTTTATTTTTAAATACACGAAATTATCATTTTAATTCATATTAATATCTCCATGGCCCACCTTTTTTTATTATATATATATATATATATATATATATAAAAAAGTCGAGTCGCGTAGGCTGTAATTTGAGTTGTTTTGTTTAACATGGATAAAAAATTTCACTTGCAAACTGAATTGAATTTTTTATTTTTTTAAAATGTAATATTAAAAAAAAAAATTTAACCCAACTTCACTTTTATAATTTGGGTCGTAGTTTAAGATCCTATGTGCTCGGGCCGCGCGATATTTAATGATATAGAATTTGATTTATGAAATTAAAAGCTTTAAAAGTGTGATAGATGTGATTTGTGTGTTTTTATTTTAATTTTTAATTTGAAAATATTGATTTTTATATTTGAGATTGGAATAACCAAAGTTGTGTCCTCACCGACCACCACACATCAATTATGTGGTTTGCGCCATACGATATCGATTTTCTCTTCATTACCCTTTTTTTTTTTTAAATTTTTAATTTTAATATTTTAATTTCTAATAATATATATATATAAATTATTTGTTTTTCAATTTTGAAAAGCGTTCTGGTTTTGGGTTCTGCAATCCGTGCGTTCACATTGGAGTCAAACCTGTAATCATATGCTTCCGAGGGAAGAACAGGAAGAAGAAGAAGATTCATAACAATTCCGTTTCTCTTCAAAATCCCTTTCATAATTTCATAATTTCTTCCTGAATTTCTCAATTTGTTCTTCTTTCTGTTGCTGATCTTCCCAATGAATGATTCCCCCAACGGCAACGTGAGGAAGATGAACGGACGAGATGAAGCTGATGAAGACGATGATTCAATGCCCAAAAATGGCGGAGGAAAGGATTTCAAGGGATTAGTTACTTCTCTGTTGCTGTTGGATGAACAGGAGAGGTGTGACCAGGAAGAACGTGACAGAGCTTCCATGGAGGCGAACATTTCGATGGAGGTCAATCACCGGAAGAAGACGAAAGCCATGCTTGATTTCTACTCCGAAGTTCAAGATTACTATTCTGAAGTCGAACAATCGGACCGTATCAACCGGAAAAAATCGCGATTAGCAGCCAACTCTGTAGCGGTTGCCGCCGCTTCCGATGGATTAGAGAAAATCGAAATCGAAATCGAAAAATCAACCAAACGCGGCGGCGATGGAGGTAGCAGCGGCGGCCATCACCGGAGACTCTGGGTAAAAGATAGATCAAAAGCGTGGTGGGATGAATGTAACAGTCCGGATTATCCCGATGAAGAGTTCAAGAAGCAATTCAGAATGAGAAGAGCAACATTCGATATGATTTGCGAAGAGCTTAATTCCGCCATAGCCAAAGAGGACACAACTCTCCGAACCGCCATTCCCGTCCGGCAAAGAGTAGCGGTTTGCCTATGGAGATTAGCCACCGGCGATCCCCTCCGAGTCGTATCCAAGAAATTCGGATTAGGTATTTCGACTTGTCATAAACTGGTCCTCGAGGTCTGCACCGCCATTAGAACAGTTCTAATGCCAAAATACCTCCAATGGCCGGAGGAAGAAACTCTCAGAAGAATCAAAGAAGAATACGAATCAATTTCTGGAATCCCTAACGTGGTCGGATCAATGTACACCACGCACATTCCGATCATCGCTCCAAAAATCAGCGTCGCAGCGTATTTCAACAAGCGCCACACAGAGAGAAATCAAAGGACATCATATTCAATTACAGTCCAAGGCGTGGTGGATCCGAGAGGCGTGTTCACGGACGTGTGCATCGGCTGGCCGGGATCAATGCCGGACGAACAAGTTCTAGAGAAATCGGCTCTGTTTCAGAGGGCAAACGGGGGGCTAATGAAGGGCGTTTGGGTAGTGGGGGGCTCGAGCTACCCATTGCTGGACTGGGTTTTGGTGCCTTACACACAGCAGCATTTCACTTGGACTCAACATGCTTTCAACGAGAAGATCGGGGAGATTCAGAAGGTGGGTAAACAGGCGTTTGCTCGGCTGAAGGGACGGTGGCGGTGCCTGCAGAAACGGACGGAGGTGAAGCTGCAGGACCTGCCGATGGTACTGGGAGCTTGCTGTGTTCTTCACAACATATGTGAATTGGGGAATGAAGAAATGGATGAAGAACTGTGTACAGAACTTCAAGACGATGAAGTGGCGCCTGAAGTTGGGTTGAGATCGGTGAGCTCCATGAAAGCTCGAGACGCCATTGCTCATAATTTGCTCCACCATGGCCTTGCAGGGACTTCATTTCTTTAGTCTCACATTCTTTCTTCTTTGGGTAAGTGTTTTTTTTTTTTTTTTTTTCCTGTCTAAATTATTTTTTCATATGTTGTTGTTGTTTTGAAAGTGAAATTACAAAGAAATGTTCTTAGTTTAGGATCATATAAAGGGTAGATTAATTACCAAATACATAACAGAATGGATTTTAAATAAAATGTTCAATTCTTTTGAACTTCTTCTTCTCATTTGTTATATGCTCTTAGAATCAGATATGATCTCCATTGTAAAGCTGAGCTTAAATTATTCCAACACCCATTTTCAAGCCCATTTGGGGTGAGAGAATTTTGTATAGAAATGATGGAAGAACACCTAATTTTATCTTCTTTTTTTTTTTTTTTTAATAAAAAGCTTATTATCATATCTTTTTGTTCTTGATTATGAAATTAATTTTGTTTATAATTTATTATTTAGAAGTTTAAAATAGCTTTTCATTTTTGCATCTAATTAAATTTAAAAATTAGAAGATTATTGACTTTTACGATGTTTTTTTAAATAGACACAAAATTCAAAGCTAAATCCTATTAGGCATAAAATTTAAATTTTTGTTTAACATAACAATTTTTTTTTTGATGATTTGAATATTTCAAATACATTTGGATACCTTCTAAAGTTTTAAAACCCAAAACCCATTAGACACAAACAAATGAATTATTTATTTAAATTAATACATAAACAATTATAAAAAAAAAACATATTATAAAGCTAGACCTCGCTTCCCTATATTTTAAAACAATTTTATTTATTTATTATTTTTTTTTTTTTTAAGAAAAAGAAAAACATAGAACGTTCAAAAGATTAGCAACTAATGATATAAAAGGATCTTGAAATAAAAAAATCGCCTTACACACCCCGACCCACTAGATCGTTAAGAGTAGAAAAGGGCAATTACGGGATTAATTGGTCGATTGGCCTGTAGCGCTTGTGACCGACAGCTTTATGACTTCAAACCCCACAAAGCTTGAAAAATGTAAAATCTTTGTTTGACTCCTCCCCCTCTCATTCCCTGCATAACTTAGCTATTCAAGTGTTCACGAGACAAAGACTATAGGCACTTACGTGGGTATAAATTTGTAGCCAAATTCCACACAAGTGCCGCATTTTCGTGGATTTCCTCTCCTTTGCTGCTGCTTTTTGCTCAGCTTTCCTTTATTCAGTGGGGTTGGTTGGTTTCATACGAAACCAGTCACCACTCAAATGAAGTTTTATTACTTTCGTCAAGAATCTTTGTACCTATATGTCATTTTCATGATCCAAAGCAAAAGATATCTGAAACCTGACGGACAGAACAAGATGTCAATGCCAAACAGGAACTTGGAAAAGACCCATTTGATCTTTCTCCCCAAGTAAAGGGAGGGGTAAGAGTTCGCATGAGCTCATCCAGGCCCATATGAAAAACTGAAAACTACCAGTTCTCAATTTTGTCCGGGATAAGCTTTACTATTCCACAGGATCTACAAAGCCCTTAAAAATCAGGAAAGTGTTGCTTAACTTATGTATTCATCGCCTGTCATCCTGGTTCGATGGTAAACGGAAAGGAAAATGTGCAAATTGAATCTTCAAAGCTAGGGAATCGGGTTTTTTGTCATCGAACTTGTAACCTGCAGAAAATCATCACACATTAGATTATCTAAAGTAATAGCTGTTCCTTTATAATATGGAACATCTTAAGAGTTGTCTTAGTTCTTCTAGAGTGTTGGTTCACAAATAATGTCAATGGCGGTAATTGTAGTGCCATATATACTTGGCTAATTACTAGATCAAGAACTTTAAGTACCAAGCAATACACCATAAGAAGCCCTAAAGACTTTCCATTGCAACGAGGAATATATTACACAATACCTTGAAGAGCTTCCATTGCAGCACGGGAATATCTTGCTTCAATGAACTCGACAAAGCATAATACCGTAGCTTTATCTCCCCTCTGCAGTTCAATACTCAATTTAACAAAAGGAATACACTGAGTAGACAATGTAACTCAGATAACAGAAGAAAATGGCCCCATTAAATCTGAGCATAGAGGGCGTGCAGTTGTTAATTACAATTGAAGGTCTTATCATGGGAAAACATGCCTCCATAGTTCAAAGTAAAGAGAAACTGATAACTTACTCGTCTGGGCTCCTTGTGAACAACTCTGATATCTTTATAGCCGATGAAGGGGCGGAAAAGATCTTCAACTCAAGTTAAGATATGACAAAAAGAAAAAGGATACATGACCATAGTTCTGTCTATTGCAATTTATGTTCTATTTTCTTTGACTATAATGACATAAAATATTTGTTTTAAGTTTCAAATGAAGCCCAAATCATATGGGATGCTGCCGGCACCCTAAGCAACGGTGGAAGTAGATAAAGTTGGATAGACAGAAGAAATAGTAAAAAAAAAAAAAAAAAGACAAGTGCATAAGGTGCAAGGATACGACCAACTTCCCTTCTAGTACAATCTGTAGGAAGTCCATCAACGAAAAGAATGTTTGATTCCTGAGCTGAAATTGGAACACGTTCGGGATTTCTGAGACCAAGAGAATTGGCTTTTTCGTGACCTGTGTCAGCCATAGCCATCAACCCTGGACTACTGCCCACTGCAATATCATGTCTTTGCCTTGCTTGTGCATCATGAAAAGGAGATGTGTTGCCTGTTGCACTCACTCCAGATGTCACACCGCCAATAACTGGTTCTGGATAATTTCTAATGCCTCCTACGTCAGTATATCCATAAGTACCAGGTCCTGATGAATCTGTCTGTAGCTACAAGTCAAGTAAAGCACTCTCATAAAGTAAATATGTTCTGTACTAAGATGAAATTCTTACTTCTTTCAGCAAATAATCAGGAGGGATGCGCCATGGATCAATGGAGGTCGAATTGGGGTAAGATGTTAAAGGAGGTGCTTCAGAGTAATTTGAAAGGCCAGACCTCGCTACACTTCCAGCTGCAAGTGCCAACAATGGACGTCAGTTTCAAGTATGATGTTTGCACGCAGACTGACTGATCAAGTGCCAATCATTTAGCGCCAAAGACTTTCAAGCTAGACTCAAAAAATTAGTTATGTTTGCAGATTACATATTATTATGAAAAAACAAGGAGGAGAGAAATTTTATATAGAATGATTCTAATGAAACAGAGAATTTGCGAAGATTTTTCGTGAATCTCAAATGAAGCAGTGAGGAAGCTGACTTTGCAATTGCCTCCTATCAATGACTCAACACGCTGCGGCTACGTCGTCTATACAAAAATACCTAGCAAATTAACATACTATAGTCATCATCGATCAGTGCGAGCAGCAACGAACATGGTTAACTCCACGGCTCCTCATCCAAACATCCTCCTAATGCATCAAGTCCAAGAAAACTGATCGTTCAGCTTCGTAAAATGACATCACTCCTAGTACAAGTGAAACTGGCCACACGCTTCTTTTCATTTCTTATTATTTTTCTTAAGATGATTTAGTTGATCGAGTTAATTTTCACTCCATAATCGCAAGATTCTTCCAGCCAAAACAGTACAATCTGAGAACACCTAACGCAAATGTAACTCCAATTCTAAACAATGCAAGTTCGTGCCGATATCGAGTGGAATGAAACAAAAAAATACAGGAGGTCGTTGAGCTAGGGCTCAAAAAGAGAAAAGTACCTCTATCGGCGGAGGCGGCGTATCTGGTATAAGCATCATCTCCCATGGCTTGATCGCCTGTTCTGCTCCCGCTGCTGCAACCCTCCCGCGGCCTCGTCCTTCTCTCCAGCTCTCCCCCGCCTACCTTACACCGAGCCACACGAAGACTAGGTTCAAATCTCTTAATAATAATTAATTAATTCTACCAGTTTTACTCATGAATTTATTAATTAAAAAAAATGATATATTATAAACTTTTTGAGTGCATAATTAAAAAGTTCGAAGCATTAGACATAAACTAAATAAATTATGAAACTTTTTAATCTTATGGTCACAAATTAAAATACTAAACACTCACACGTATAGGAGGCCTAGTGTCTTCACTGGGATGCAGTACACCACCTCAATGTTTGGTTCTGATATCAGTGAGAGGTTTCCACACCCTTATAAGAAATGCGGTCCCTTTAACGGTTCAACGTCTTTGCTAAGACACTGGCACACTACCTCGGTGTTCGGTTGTAATGCCAAGTAGAGACTTCTCCACCCTTACAAAGAATGCAGCCCCCTTTGGTACTAGCATCCTCACTAGGACGATGGCACACTGTTTCGGTGTCTGGCTCTAATACCAAGTAAATGTTTCCTCACCCTTATAAGAAATGCAATTTCTTTGGGAGGCTAGCGTCTTCGTTAAAACCTCGACACACTGCCCAAGTGTCTGGTTTTGATACTATTTGTAATGATTAAAGCGCACCACTAGTAGATATTGTCCACTTTGGCTCTATCACGGGCAGCCTCACGATTTTAAAAAGCACCTATGTTTTCACATCCTTGTAAGAAACGAACCAACGTAAAATCACACACAGTCGAATACACTTTATTATTATTACATAATTTTAATTTATAACCTATATATTGATATTGCTGTAGTTTAAATAGTTGATATATATATACACACACATATAGATATATAGATATATACATGTATGTATATATATATGTGTATATACATATGTATATATATGCATATATATATATATGTATATTATATAAATAATTAAATTAATTAGATTTATTAAAGCCACAAATGCATGAGGCATGCGGACACGTATATTTATTTGTTTGGACTAACAAACTAGCGGTGAGAATTTAAACTTCGACTTCAAATAGACGCTACCGTAATGACTCACACTGGCGACAAAAGCATAAACGTTTAAAATGGTAGCACATTTATTATAAAGCAGCTAAATAAATGCAATATTCATGCCGAAAATTTACCTTGAATTTTGTATATATATTTTTTTTTAATAAAATAAGAGAGTTTAAAATATATTAGACGCTAACTTAAACATAATTAAACCAGCCATGTTAAAAAAATAATCATATTAAATATTAAAAAAATTTGAAAATGATAAGAATTAAAAAAAATTAAATTAACCAATTAATCAAATATTACTAGAGTTGATTGTAAGAGCGTGAGTACTAAATACTATAAAATTGAATATTTATTTTGATATAATCTAATTAAATTTGAGTTTAATAAAATATTTAGCGCTCTACTAAAATACTTATTTTGAAAAGATAAGCTTTGGTTATAATTCACTCGACCGTCAATGTGCAAAATCACAACACTATACCTTATAAAGACAAAAGTCACGTGAAATGTTTTTATTACTATATGTGTATAATTTTCATCGAAAAATAAACTATTAATTTAATAAACTTTCATATAAATCACATAATATTAAATTAAAATTTCATAATTATCATCGAATTCTTATTACGCAATATTTCCATACATTATTATTATTATTTTCTATTTACGAACAGATATAAATTAAAAGAAAAAAAAAAACAACTAATCACAGCTGTTTTTCGTACTTTTCCAATCTTAAAAATAAAAAAAAGGGGAAAAAAATAAAAAAATAAATAAAAATAAAAGCCAATTTGGAGCTCCCACCCCTGCAAGAACAAGCTTTCTCTCTCTGTCCCCGATGGAGAAATGATAGCATGTTCCATGTTCAATTCAATCAGTCTGTAATCGGCCAACTAATATCGCGTGTCGCGCTAAAAGTAATCGTGTGCTTATGATGAAGGGTGGAAAGTAGAGGAGATGTTGGGTATAATGGGAAGGGATGCAGGGGATTATTGGCAATAATATGGTACAACGCAGACCATCATAAAAATGCAGGTGGTAGCAGATTTATTGTCGGATTACAGCTAGTTCTAGCTTGGATTTCACTGTAGACCTTATTCTATGTTGAGTATGGGATGGCTGTCATATTCCATTGCCTTTTCCATATTTAAAAAAAACACCCCATAAATATTTTAATTCCATTTATAATAAACTTTTTATATATATCATTTTCCAAAAAATAAAATTAAAATAAAAAACGTTAATTTATATGTGCATTATTTAAATCTACAATGTTTATCATTTTTCACTAATTTGTATTATGACAATTTTTTTTAATTTGTTGTTAAATTACATAAAAATTTAATTTAAAAAATAAAATAAAATACGCCCACCGATTTATCAAACCGCCTTTTAAAAGTAATAGAACTAAAGGAGTTTAAAAAAATTAAACGTACAAAAATTTAATTAATTAAGTAAAAAATACAATATTAAATTCTAGCTCAAATATTGCTCAATAATTGAGTTACGTATATATATTTAGAGGTAGAGGTTTAGAGGTGAGTATGTCAATATTAATTAATATTTATCTTCGGATTAAAAATTTAAATTATCGTATTTTATTGTATTAAAAAAATATTAAAAATTTGATTAGATTTAAATCTCAACTAAATATATTAAAAAAGGGCAGTCGTATATGGTATATTATGTAGAGAAAATCTGGTGTAAGGACAAGACAAAAAAAAAAAAAAAAGCTGAC